GAAATTAATATAATATATTTTATTTATATAAAACACTAATTTTATGATAAATCCATAATATTCAAACCATAATAAAACAATTTACACTAGGATTTTCTTGCACAACTTTTTTCCTTCTGAATATCTCTCTTTCAATTTGGTTTAAGAAAACAGAGCTCACTACAAAAGCTTCTGATCTTTCCAATAGAGATTCACAAGCCATGCAATAAGATTTTACCCTATAATTGGAAAAAAATAAGAGTCCAAAAAAAATAATATATATATATATATATATATAGAGAGAGAGAGAGAGAGAAGAGAAGCACTGCCAAACAAAGCCTTTATAGTTACATATTAAGTGCACTGGCTTTGCTGTAGAACCATAGCAGATAGTACTCCAGCAAGGGAGAACTGCAGATTAGCAAACCTTATCATCTCATTACATTAAGGCTTCGTTTAGGACGGCTTTCTTACTGCTTCTTAAAGCAACTTTTTAGTTCAAAAAATAAAATTTTTGAACTTAAGCTGCTTTAAAAACAGTAAAAAAAACCGTCCCAAAGTTATTGTTAAGCACAAATTTAACAAGCAACAAACTCCAGCAAACCATTTTCCACAATAAATAACTATTTTACATTAATTCAATCACCTTATCGCATTCTCTTCTTCACTACTCTCTCTTATTCGATTTGATGCTCTCAGATTGGCAAGTAAAGCATCCCGCCCAGTCAGCACAATCTGGAAGAATCCATCAATTTGTGTGCAGAGATGATCCAACCCCTCAGAAAGTTTCTCAGACCTTCCAGCCAAATCAGAAACAAGTTCCTCCACTTCTTCTAGTAGTTCTTCTCCAGCTGCTTCCTTTTCACTCTGCTCAGTTTCCATGCAAACACAGCCAGTTAACACATGCAACCTCTCCACACACAATTCTACAGCTTCTAGCTCTCTCAACATTATTACTTTTTCACTTGAAAGATGGGTCCGGAACTCTGATAGAACAATGGCTTGTAGCTCATTGAAGGCACTGGACCATAGGAACTTGTCTGGAACAAGCAATTCAATTAGAGGCTTCGAACAACCTGACAGTGCTGCTGTAATAACACTGCAAACAATCACAGTATGAACCTTCACTCCATAAAGGGCTCTCAACAGTAAGTTGCTTTTGTCTGAATTTCTCAGCTTTTCAGAGTAAGGGATTCCTGCAAGATTCTTTAAGATATCATGGCAGTTTTGGAGCTTGAGATTGTTAGAGCTAAATTGACCCTTCCAATCATGAAGAGATGCCACTACTAGTTTCATCTGCTGGGATGAATTGCTTGGGTGTTCCAATATTTGAATAACAAAGTGCAAGAAAAGTTGAGACTGATCCAATCGAGAAAGCAAGGAGCTTAAAGCAATGCAAATGTCGAGCAATTTTACACTGCCATCTAAGTACACATCAATCCATTTCTCATCCCAATCAGAGACAGGAAACTGTAGATCAGTAATTAAGCCTTTGATGTTTGTATGAATCTCAGATAAGGACTCGATAGCCTGCCGCATCCAAGAAAGGGTAAGAATTTCAGATAAATCATTTGGTTTAAGATTTGTCAAACTTGTGGCGAGCATTAGCTCAAAATTATTAAGCAAGGCTAGAAGCTTTGGTGAGAAGTGAGGCCCCCTGGAAAATATCATCTTGAAAGGATTTCCAAAATGTAAGAAAGTGTGATGCCCATCGTCCGTCCGACTCATTTTTCAACTGTTGCAATAGAAAGACCTTTTAAGTTTAAAAAAAATACTAAATCAAATTATGTTTGATTAGACAGGCATTAAATAAAAGTGTGGGGGTGTTAACTAGAAAAATTATTCTGGGTGGATTCCGGACGGTCCAGCGTCCGAAGACTAACTAGAACGCGCCATGTCATTTTTTTGCTCGTACTGCTGTGTACCGAGTGATGTGACACATTCTAATTGGTCTCCGTACCGTCCAGTATCCACACATAATAATTTCTCTGCTAACTAGCGTGAACTATCATTTTATATTGCTTTATTGGCATATCAAAATGTGTGTGAGATAGAGAGAAAATTGAATTACTATACATTTGGAAGGATAGAGTCATTCATCTTCGTACATCTTTCACCTCCATCAAAATTTTTTGAATGGTCACGATTTGAAGTAGCTTAAAGTCATCACTAATATAAAAGATAATTAAAATATATATTCGCTACTTTAAATCAGAATCATTCAAAAATTTTGATGGATCATGAAAGATGTTTGAGTAAGTGGCTTTAATCATTGGAACTAAATGAAAATATTAATTATTGTTCTCTTTGGCGTGTGTAGATGGAAGTACTAAATGAGTAGCATCTCATAAAAACAAACCAAAATTCATAATTAAATTAGCATAAAATTCAATTACAACCATGATAACAAACACATTTACATTAAAATGGTCCTCAGAAAACACTTGTATGAAGCTGAGTATAAAATTGCAGAAAAGCCAGGCAGAGGCTGTAGCTAGGTAAAACATTACTCAATTAAAAAAATGAAATTTAATCAATAATTATGTAAAATTATTTATACATCTATACTACTATTATAAAAGCCGCTTGAATTTCCTTCCACATTAAATCTTGGCCATCCGTTTTACTTCTTTTAAAATTATCTTGTCCCTTCATTATATATTTATATTATAAATAATTAATAAATATAAAATTATATAAAAATTATACATATTAATGTCTGTTACTATAAATTAATGTTGCTTAAATTTTCTTCCTCAAATAAATAAATATTTAACTTCCTGGAATCACAAACGTATCAAACCTCCTTACATTAAATGACTTGCAATTAATGTTAAAAAACATTAAATGACATGCAGATCAGACGATTGTATTATACTCCCTTCAATTTTATTCAAAAGAAATCTGTAATGTCCATTTAGGACTCTTCGTATGTCGTTTATCCAAAAATGAAAAAAAAAACTTGTATTTATTTTCACTGCCAGGCGCTGGTGGATCTGCCGAAAGCAGCTTCTCATATTCAGCCTAACGTTTCTTCTTCTTCACATCCGAGCATTTCTTTCTCTCCTCCGAGCGTTTCTTCTCTCCAAAATGTTTCCACTACGAAGCAGTTATACATGCTAGTGATACTCCGAGCGTTTCTTCACTTCCCCGGTAGGTAACTGTCGAAGCTACTCTCCCTGACCATCATATATATTTGCTTAACCTATCCTCACTTGTTTTCCTTTCGTGGTTTGCTTTTAATTTCTTGATCTTTACTCTTTCGACTTCAAAGGACCTCTACTCTTTCTCCTTCAAATATAAGGTAATAAATTTATATGTGCTTAATTGCTTTTGTATATTTTGATTGCTGCTTATATAATTATATTTTGAATTTATGTCACAAAGTAATCATTTTGCATAGATTTATAGAATTATTTTTTTTTCAAAAAAAATTTAATACGAAATATTATATTATGTGGCCCATCATGGTGCCATTCTTATCATGAAATTTAGATCTGATGGAGAGTACTTAGCAAGTGGGGTGAAGATAGATTTGTGAGAGTATGGAAGGTGGAGTGTCAAAGGACCAATGCAAATGATATTCGTGTTGATGACCTTTCTTGTATTTATTTTAGTATAACCAAAAATTCGAAACTTTTACCTCTCAATATTGATAAGAAAAGTTTGATCAATTCTAAGAGTATGCGAAGAATGTCAAATTCAGCTTGTGTTATCATTCATTTTTCAAATATCAGAGAAATTTTTATATGAATTTCGTTGTCATAATGGGCATGGTATAAAAACTTGATAAGTATAAACTTAAAAACATTCTCTCAACTTAATGCATTCTTAGCAATAAATATTTCTATAAAGTATTTTATATCTAATAACTTTCATTTTATATTTCTGAATGTGAATGATTATTTTTTTTGCAGGATTTTCTATCATCTTATGTTGATAAAACTATTCGTTTGTGGAAATTGGGGTGTGATGGATGTATCAGAGTCTTTTGTCACAATAACTATGATTTATGCATATGTGTATTGTTAGTTAATTGATTTCTTATCTTTTTTTTAATCACATATAATAGAGATAAAATTATTTGTTTTGATGACATTATGCAGTGACCTCAATTCAGTTTAATCTGATGGAAGAGAGATAGTTCATTAGCGGCTCTATTAGATGGGAAAGCTTGCATATGGGAAATCTCATTGCCTGGAGTTTTGGGTTGGACCGATGTTAGACAAATAATAACTTTAGTTTGTTAATTTCAAGGATGGCTACTACAAAAAAAAAAAAAAAAAAAAAAACTTCATTTTCTGGCGGCCATTTCGGCCGAAAAATGGCCAAAATCCGTCAGAAATTGCCGGCAAGGTAATTAGTTAATATTAATCTTGACCTGTTGTTGGAGATGTCTAAATAGTTTTTGAAGATAATGCTTTTTCTTTGCAATTATTTTTGATGTCATTTGTTGCTAATCATTGTTTATCTATAGGATGTACCTGATATCAAAGTATATCAAAAGTTTGATGTTCATTCATTGTCTACGCGCCTACTTTAAAAAGTAGGTTAATTATTAATAAATCAATTTAATTTAATTGATGCTAAAAATAATTATTTTTCAATTATATTGATCCATTATAATCACATGTTTTGGATTTGTGTCTACCTACTATAGATGCTTTACATTTTTGTAATTGTTCCTATAGCCGCTCCTTCCTATGTATAATTGTATGTTAAATTATGTTAAACAAACTCAATAAATTCATTATTTGAGTTTCACATAAACACAACTCTCCAAGACAGGAAACTGTAGATCAGTAATTAAGCCTTTGATGTTTGTATGAATCTCAGATAAGGACTCGATAGCCTGCCGCATCCAAGAAAGGGTAAGAATTTCAGATAAATCATTTGGTTTAAGATTTGTCAAACTTGTGGCGACCATTAGCTCAAAATTATTAAGCAAGGCTAGAAGCTTTGGTGAGAAGTGAGGCCCCCTGGAAAAGATCATCTTGAAAGGATTTCCAAAATGTAAGAAAGTGTGATGCCCATCGTCCGTCCGACTCATTTTTCAACTGTTGCAATAGAAAGACCTTTTAAGTTTAAAAAAAATACTAAATCAAATTATGTTTGATTACACAGGCATTAAATAAAAGTGTGGGGGTGTTAACTAGAAAAATTATTCTGGGCGGATGCCAAACGGTCCAGCGTTCGGAGACCAATTAGAACGCGTCATGTCATTTTTTTGCTCAGTACTGCTGTGTACCGAGTGATGTGACACATTCTAGTTGGTCTCCGGACCGTCTAGTGTCCACACAGAATAATTTCTCTCCTATCTGGCATTAACTATCCTTTTATATTGTTTTATTGGCATATCAAAATGTGTGTGAGATATAGAGAAAATTGAATTACTATAAATTTGGAAGGATAGAGTCATTTATCTTCGTACATCTTTCACCTCCATCAAAAATTTTTGAATGGCCACGATTTGAAGTAGCTTAAAGTCATCACTAATATAAAAAATAATTAAAATATGTATTCGCTACTTTAAATCAGAATCGTTCAAAAATTTTGATGGATCATGAAAGATGTTTGAGTAACTGGCTTTAATCATTGGAACTAAATGAAAATATTAATTATTGTTCTCTTTGGCGTGTGTAGAAGGAAGTACTAAATGAGTAGCATCTCATAAAAACAAACCAAAATTCATAATTAAATTAGCATAAAATTCAATTACAACCATGATAACAAACACATTTACATTAAAGTGGTCCTCAGAAAACACTTGTATGAAGCTGAGTATAAAATTGCAGAAAAGCCAGGCAGAGGCTATAGGTAGGAAAAACATTACTCAATTAAAAAAATGAAATTTGATCAATAATTAAGTTAAATTATTTATACATAGATTTAAGATTAGCTTAAACATTCAAATATTTAAAATAGAACTTTTTAAATTGATCCCTTATATTAATTAAAGCATTACATGGTATATAGATTAAATCAGATATATTAGACATATTTGATAAGATATGAAATCCCCATGATTTTAAAATTTAAATATAAAATGAATTTTCTTCAAATTAAAGGAATACAAAACTTAAAATAAACTTAGAAAGCCTACTTTAAAATGGATCTCTGTTTCTTTTAGGATTTAAAGGTGATAGAGATTCTCTCTTTTTTTGTCATACTATTTAAAATTAAATATAAAACTAATTTAAATATTTTAATAATTGGTAGAGAAAACTTTTTAGAAATCGATATTTTACATTAATTAGAAAAGTACAAAGATTGTATATAAAATTAATGTTGATATTATATAGATTTGAAAGATTTAATTCGCCCCCATTTTTTATGGCTTTATCCTTTAAAACAATAATATTTTCATCTACCATTAAGAGAAAAATTTGAGAGAATCCCATGTTAAAATGAAGCTCCCTTTTTATATTAGGCTTTAAAGAAGGTAGACATTTTCTCTTTTTATCCATTAATGGTAGACATTTGCAAGAGGATGTACCTTGGTGTATGCTTTTTGCTGATGATATTCTTCTTGTTGATAAGACTAATTATGATAGTGTTTTGATGTTGCAAACATAATTTAGTTGAATTTTTTTTTTTTTTAATAATTTGGTTGAACTATTTCTACTAACATATTTTTATATAGGGTTAAGTATTAACATTGCAAGTACACACTAGAATAGCAAATTACAATGTCAGGTACACTTAAAGTAAATATAAAAAAACTCAAAGGAAGCTCATAGCTAAG